TAGAGGAGTGTAAGCGAGAAAGAATGGATATAGGGAACACGGAAATAAAAAGGAGTTACGAAATAACAAGAAGGGAAAACTTAAGGATTATACTGAAGTCGAAATATGCGAAAGAGTTGAAAGACAAAGGGATTTATTACCGGAATATTTGACAGACGCAAAGGATATAGCGGCAATTGCAAGATTTAGAATGGGAAATGAACATAATAAAAATAAGTACTGGATGAAAGAACAGGAAAGAAAATACAGAATATGTGGAAAAGGCAGCGAGACGTTAACACCTGTGTTAGAAGAGGGTGTAAAAGATAATAAAGATAAAACATATTATACACTACGGTTTGGTGCAGTTTACAAATACTTTATGAAATTATGATGATTTTCAAAACCCTTTTCTGATTACTTTTTGAATTATCGTATATATCTATACAAAAAACAAAATAACGACCAAAAGCTTTTAGCGTAAGTTAATATTTCAATATATTCTGTTTCATGAATTTTTCTTTTAGTCATTGTTAGTCATCTGTTTTTAATACTTTTACGGGCTTCCTGACCGTTGCCTCTTAAAACTGTTTCCCGACGTTTCGCCTCTAGCAGATATTTTCAAAGGTAACACGATGCTCATCTCGGTCTTAGTTGCCTTTGAGTGCTGCGCAGTGCTAGTGTTTTGTTTATATTTGGCCGAATTATCTACATTGTATTTAATTTGTATATACACATTTAGGCAATTGTCCAGCAAAATTAATTAATTTATTTAATCTATTTGTTTATGTATATAAAAAAATTGCGTATTACTATTTTATTGATAAGAGTAGGTAAATGCTTTAATTATTTCATTGTTTTAACAGCAAATTTGATTATCCACAAAAAGTACGTAGTATGGTCGTAAAAACCAGCCACGATAATAATGAAGTTATTTGTTAATAATATTTAAAGGTATTGTATATGTAAGTATAATAATGGCTTCCATAATCCATTGTATATCTATGTATATAGTTATTGTAAAAAAATTAATTATTATATTGCTGTGCACATAAAAAGAATGCGGTAGGTATAAGCGTTATTTTTGCAAAATTCGTTCTACCTTGTTTGGTGGATTTTGCATGCCGTGGAAAGGTAAATTTTCATAGAACTCTTTTTCTGCTAGCGTCAGAGGGTCCTTCGAACCATTTCGAGACGAACCCCCGTTCCTCTTCCTATCTGCGGTACCAATAGTAGTGTTTGGTGCTAAACATGAAGAAATAAATTTAATATATTCATTAAAACAGGTATAGAACTGTCAAAATTATTTAATTACCCTTGACAATATATGTATAATAGAACAAATGGATTCTATTGCAAATCATCATCTCCAAAAAGGAGATGTTTTCAATTATAGGAAATAATATTAAGCCATATTTTTAAGGACGACATATTTTCAGGACGATACGTAGTGAACATTCAATGCATCTTTTGAGAATATCGTATGTCGCCTAATATATAAACCCTATGCTTCGTCATGCCTGTTAAATGAATATTGAAACGATTATAAAGGGATAAAGGTACTGGTGTAACGAGTAACCATTTTGCAAGGTACAAACAATGTTTAAAAGCAACCCATTAATATTGGTCGATGGTCTACAGCGAACTGATAAAATCCAAAGAGATCAAAACGGTGATCTGAGTGTAACCCGTAGGAAAGATTTCCATTCATTTCCACTAAAAAAATACCATTTAATTACCACTGATATAATTAATGGTAATAAATGGAAAATTGTCAATGGGATGAATAGAATTTCTACTAGTGGAAATCTCATTCCTGAACTCAGTGGGATTTCCATTGCTGAACGCAATGAGATTTCCATTGCGTTCCATTGGAACTTCCATTCCTGAACCCAATGGAAATTCTAGTGGTAATTCTTTATTTTTTACCTTCAATAATTGTTAGTGGTAATTAACTGACATTCGTGTTAATTAAGATGAAATATGAGGTTTTTCGACGAAAAAAAATATGAATTACATGACAATTATTATTCCAAATAATGTCTTCTATATTATTTTTACAACTTTGACAATCACATTAACTTCAGAACGTTGTTCTCCATTTTTTTTTAATAAGTTTCAATCATCTTAAACTAGATCTTCTCCAGTTTTAGGTACGCAATTGTTTTTCCATTTATATTGAATGGTTTTAAATAGAATTTATAAATTTTACATTAGTTCCTATCGAAAATCAATGGAAATTTTTCCTATGTAAATGTTAATGGAATTATTGTAAATGGAAACAATTATTTTTCCACTTATTCCAAATGAGTTTGAATGGAATTTACAAATTTTCCATTGATTCCCATTGACATCGACAGATCACTGATCAAGACTGTTGTTCTGTTAGATATGAATGCACATCACGTAGACTGCTACGCCTTTAAATTAATCGTAAAAAAGTTATTGCCAAACATTAATGAACTCACAATTGGTAATGTCACATAGTGAATTTCCAAAATTATATTTTTCATTTTTCTGGAATTAAGTCGGCGTAACTTTCAAAAAGCGAAACCACTACACGGAAGCACGGCCAATGTGAGCATAGACAAGATTCCAAAAGTTCCATATGACGATGTCGAAAACACAAATAAGAGAGAGGAAGTGAAGTCCGCGAGGGTGATAAGTGAGGTTCAAGAAGGGTGCGTGAGGCAGGGGGGAAGGGGTGATCCACTGGTCCTTATGGTTAGGGAAACGCTGTTTAAAGGCAGTAAATAAATTGATTGGGGCTCTTCAGTAAAAAAAAAAAACTTTTGAGTGTTTCATTCCCACCAACCACTAGTGCTGGTTGGCGGGCTGCCCCCAGGACTATGCCAGAAGGTAGGGACTTTCAGTTAACTGACTTTAGTACCTAATTTTTGTGTTACTTTCTGAAACGTTCTTCATCAAACTAAAGGAAGTAACTTGTGCAGTTAGTGCAGCATAATCTTTAAGAATTTATCAGTGATGACAATTGACGAGTCACCCTTGAAAGCATGAACCATGGAATGAAAGGAAACCTACTGAATGCCGAGATAAACATATGGATGTTTTATTCCCACCAGCCACTGATGCTGGTGGGCGGGCAGGCCAGTGTACGCTGGAAGATAGGGCGGAAGGCCCTCTTCAGCCTCCTTTCAGGAATCGTGGGAATAGGTGGGTGGTGGTTCGGGTGAAAACAATAAGACAGACGAAATGAAGACAGAAGAAAATGAAAGATTATCTGTGGAGTATTATTGCCCCAGCATTTGCTTATGTGATCCAAGAAAACCACAGAAGAACTTGGACCGAGGCAGACGGACCCAGAATTGAACCGGTATCCTCCCGAATGCTAAGCAATGGTCCAAACCTGTAGGCCATGCCGCTCGGTTTTTACAGTTTGCTGATGAGACCCAAATAGATAGAAATGACGATCCACGTCTGCCTAAAAAATTTTGTTTCCATCACGTAGATAGCTACACCATAGGCTTAATTTGACAGGCTGACATCCTTAATCGTTAAAGGATATTGTCAAACATTAATTAACTCGCAATTAGTAGTAAATTTCAACAGATGGCGTTCACCATGCCGACTGTAGTTATTCGGTAAAAAATGTTTAAAGACAGCAAGTGAATTGGCCAACGATCTGTCAAAACTGTATACGGCATGCTGATTAGATACAAAATGACCAAAATTACGATCCGCGTTTGACGATTTCGACAGATGACTGATCAAGAACTTTTGACATAGCTACTGTATTTATCTCTTAAAAATTTGGATTCGGAAGTCGGCCGTTGTCTGTATAAACGACGCAACAATGTAAATCATTGAAGTGATTAGAGGTATATTTCTAAGTAAAAAAATTATTTACTTCCAATTACTACATATGAATCATTTGCTAACAGACATGACGAAGATCCAAAGAAACGTTACGCATATTAAAAGACAAAACTATATATATATATCTACACAATCATTGTATTGCTTACAAGTATTTTAGATATTTATCTGTTTTCTGAAAGTATTAAATTAAGCAGTATTATTCTACACAATAACAGTACGACAGTTCAAAGTGGCTGAACAAGAATCAAAAGAACAAGAAACCTTTAAACACAAAACAAAAGTGTTACCTTCTCCTGGTTTTTTCCTTTTCCTCGAAACGGTTTGGGGTTCTTTATCAGTTGGCGATGACGTAGAAAACTTTTTAAAAGTGGTAACTAATATGCAAGCAAATAAAAATAAATAAATAAAACAAGCTTAAATATTTTGGTATGCTGTTGTGCCTACAACTTATACTGTTTAGCAGAAATTGGTCGGCTAGATATTTGCGTATTATCGCAAGCATCGTTTAATTAATTTTAAGGAGATTTTTGTTTTATCTACTAATTTTACGAAACATATAGGTAACAATGCTCATGGTAATCGATTCCAACAATATGTTTCTTTTTTTAGTTATCGATTTTTATTCGTGACTATTTACAAAGAATCTGAGTTTCATTCCTAAAGGATTCAATTTTGTTGAAAATTTATATTTAATTTTGAATAATTTTCTTTTATTTAAAAAGAAAAGGACGAAAGTAAAGCATTTGTTTACTGGACAATATAATGAAAATTTTGAAACTGTAAAATCAATAGAAATAAAAATCAATACGAATGTGTATTTTTATAAGCATGAAGTGCTAACTGATTGATATAATTAAGGAAATCTGGTTTTGATGTTTGATTGCCACCTCTAGATTTAGTACAGCTTGATCTAAGAGCAATTTAAATAATCTTAAGATTATCTGATTCTGACAAATACAAACACAATTTGTTCAAGAATAGTTATAATTATTGCTTAGGAATGTTAATAAAGGAAATCATATCTATATTCACATTTCTTTCAGATTTTTCTCTACAACTACTTCATAAGAATAAAGATGTCATTTCCTTGTTTCTAACTTGGCAGGAGATTTATAAATTTGTCTAATGATTTATTAGATAAAATTTTTATACTTTCTTTCACAATTTAATAGACATGTTTGGACTTTTCTTATTCTTTTAGTCATAAGGGTAAAAACCATCCCTTGCAACACTACTTCCTTTTGTTACTTTTGATGATTATATGTATGATTGACCAAAAAAAGCAGCATTATGTATCCCAATATAAAAAGTGTATAAATTAAGTAATGAGATTCGCAACATAGCGATCGATGTGGCAAAAGTGAAAATGCAAAATTAGGTTTACATGTGAAACGCCTTCAGTACAAGTTTGAATTTACTAATCATTCGTTTGTCAGCAGCAATTGTTTTCGTGAAACATAATTTGCAAATGAATTCTAAAAATGAGCGACTTCAATTTCGAGCAACGGTGTGCTATCAGGTTTTGTTTCAGATATGAGCGCAGTGCAACGTCATCAGGCCTATGGAGACAATGTTTTGTCAAGGAGCCAGATTTCTCAGTGGTGTAAGGCATTTTTGGAAGGAAAAGATAGCCGACCGAGTATGAAACACGCAGTGGATGGTCTTCAACTTCGAAAACCGATGAAACTGTCGTCAAAATTCGGGATCTTGTTCGTTCATATCGTTGGTTAACTATCAGAATGATCGGGAAGCAGCTGAATTTAAGTCACATCAAGTCGACGGAGACAATGTTTTGGCCAGATTTCTCGGTGGTTTAAAGTACTTTTGTAAGGAAGAGAACCCATCGAAGATGAATAATGCAGTGGATGGTCTTCAACTTCAAAAACCGATGAAACTGTCGTCAAAATTCGGGATCTTGTTCGTTCATATCGTTGGTCAACTATCAGAATGATCGAGAAACGACAATGCGCCTTGTCACACAGCACTTTTGAGAATCAAATCAAAGGTCAATAAAAACATTACTGTTGCTCTTCGGCCCCCTTAACCACCGATCTTGAGCCTTTGTGACTGTTTCCTCTTCGCGAGATAGAAAACTCACCTCAAGAGATGTCTTTTCGTCACATTCGAAGACATTCAAGTGACTTTAACCAGTATCCACTTCCAGGAGAACCGTCTCTACCGCTGTATGGCTTTCCAAGGATGTTATTTTGCGGGTGATAATGTTGAATTATAATTTTATTTGACTAAAAAATTTAAAAAAAAATAAGTCTCATTTCTTAATTTACACACCTCGTGTATACATTATAGAACTAAGTCACGAAGATTACTGACGATTCATAAGACCATTACGTTAGAAGTAGAATCCCCCGTAAGCTTTAAGTTGCCATCAGGAAACATTGTTTAAATGTATCCCAATATACATGGTATGAAGAAGGCTACTTTACGGAATTTATCTTTGTTTTCGAAAATTTCTGTTGGTTTTACTTATAATTTCTGTCGGTTGAAGTATTGCTTCGAACGTCACCTCCAGCCACATTGCAAACTTCCAAGATGATATACGAAAAGTAAGTTGGGTCTCGAGGGGACGTTTAATACCTACTACATCCTTGAAGTAGGTTTATGGTAAGTCCTTAAACTTGTTTTTAATAATAAAGTTGAATGAGAAAACTCGAAATTAGATTTCCGTTTGTGAAATCGTTGGTTGATGAGTTGTTGCTAGGATGGCATACAATTTCCTCATTTGATAAGGCGGACAATTATTCCAAGAATGAAATTAAATTATGTCTTACTACTGCTAGTACGTCTTTATCACATATAAGGTCGGTAGTTAAGCCGACTATGAAAATTCCAAATAGTTAAATATTCCGTATCTTTATTAATAACAAATTTTATACTATTCATGTCGAGGTCCTACCCCATTAAAAAATTATTATTATATGCAGGTGTCTGACACTTCACACGGGTATTACATTTCATGTTGAACGATTATCTTCATGTACATACTGAGACTTTGAAGAAATTTATCGATGTCGACGATCGCTGATACCAATAAGGGAAGAACTCATTAATTTCCAAGTTAGTCTTCTACTGCACTTGAATATGTACACATATCAGAAATTTTAAGTGTATGCAGGATAGTCGTATTTGATTTTGGTATTCGTGAACCGACTAGTAATGGATCATTATTTCAGTTACGTAATTTTGGTACCTGATTTTTATGTCACATTCCGAAACGTTCTTCCTCATACTTGTTAGTGCGGTATAATTTTTAAGAATGTATCCGTGACGACAATTGACGAGTCACCCTTGAAAGCATGAACCATAGAATAAAAGAAATAAAACTTTTGAGTGTTTCATTCCCACCGGCTTCGTGGGAATGGGTTGGTGGTGATTCGGGTCAGAAAGATGAGACGGACGAAATGAAAAGAGAAGAGAATAAAAGATTATCTGTGGAATATTACTGCCTCCATAGACATATATTAATGGACGTGTCGTAGTCGTATGTCGTTGTAATAATTTCTTGGCTCGAAAAGTGAGGGAGATGGCGTATGGTTTCCGACTAGTGCCATCTCTCTCATGACACCTTACGCACTATCGTGAGAGAGATGGATATTGTCCGAAACGCCGTTCCATCTCTTTTGTTGTACCACAATTCTGACCGCTAAGGCATGTCCATTAATAAACGTCGATGACTGCCCCAGCATTTACCTAAGTGATCCAAGGAAACCACAGAAAAACTTGGACCGAAGCAGACCGAATCGGAATCGAACCGGCGTCCTCCCGAATGCTAAGCAATGGTCTAAACCTCATGATTACGTGTAAAAGGGGGAGCGCCCACCGGAGAAACGTAGCATTAAAACACAGCAGAAGCGTGATTCTGGCATGACAGTGGTGTGGCATAACTTTTTTCAACGCATAGAGAATAGAGACAGAGCGTGGCACTAGTAAGTGTCATAATGTCATTGAAATACGATAATAGATTCAGTAAATTTACTCAATATGAATGAAAACCGTCGAAAAGAAGACACTGAATTCATCCCTACTGCAAAACCAAATAGAACTAGCATGTTACTTGCTACGTTCGTTCTGTTAATGCACATTCATTTGCTAGCATTTGTTCAACTTGAAGTAGCATCCTAGACGCACGCCACTTGCTATACACACGCTATATCATACGCCATGCGTGGCAACTTTCAACTTGTAAGGAAGGATAACGTGAGTAGAAAAGGTTAGAAATGAAGAGGTATTGGAAGGAATAGGAGAACAGAGGACTCTATGGAAGTCAATAAAAAATAGGCGAGATAGGTTGGTAGGACACCTTCTCAGGCATGAAGGNTAATAAACGTCGATGACTGCCCCAGCATTTACCTAAGTGATCCAAGGAAACCACAGAAAAACTTGGACCGAAGCAGACCGAATCGGAATCGAACCGGCGTCCTCCCGAATGCTAAGCAATGGTCTAAACCTCATGATTACGTGTAAAAGGGGGAGCGCCCACCGGAGAAACGTAGCATTAAAACACAGCAGAAGCGTGATTCTGGCATGACAGTGGTGTGGCATAACTTTTTTCAACACATAGAGAAGAGAGACAGAGCGTGGCAGTAGTAAGTGTCATAACGTCATTGAAATACGATAATAGATTCAGTAAATTTACTCAATATGAATGAAAACCGTCGAAAAGAAGACACTGAATACATCCCTACTGCAAAACCAAATACAACTAGCATGTTACTTGCTACGTTCGTTCTGTTAATGCACATTCATTTGCTAGCATTGGTTCAATTTGAAGTAGCATCCTAGATGCACGCTACTTGCTATATCACACGCTATATCATACGCCATGCGTGGCAATTTTCAACTCGTACCGATCGTGATCGTCCTTTGTTAAATAGAAATATATTTCATTCCGAAATCGCGTGAATCCGGAACGTGGTTTTTATGAATGGAATTGATTATACATACTCCAAATTTAAATATACCCCAGTGCGCTTTGGGGCTGTTTCACGCACGTTTTCGCAACATGAATTACTTTTGCGAGAAATGCCCCAACTTCATACCTGTCCATTAAAAAATTGCGGTTATTCAGTTATATTACAGCACTGCAAGTAAGTAGGGGTAGTGTGTTTTGGAAACTGGTAAGTGTAATATAAATGAGTCATGTAATGTAAGTCAGCAGAATCCAGAGGCGTAACCAAAGGCCCTGATGCAAAATAAAGGGGACTCTCACTGAACTGTTTAGGTTTTATCAAGTCAAAATATAAAATATTTATAAATACTTTAAAGGTGTAAAGCTACTTGATTACTAGCTCTTCGAATCTTGTTGTACCTAACCTATTTTATTTACATTTCGAAGGTGGGATCAGTTTGACTTTTGCTAATTAGGGCCCGACGACTCTCTGAGTTTGGTGCACTTCACCGTCGAGCCCTCCAGCGTTTACGCCACTGATTGAATCTGAATTTAGATTCACTACATAATGAACTCGTCATGGGTTACAAGGAAAGTGCTTACAAGGTGAAATAATATAAAATTTGAAGTTAATAGAAGAAAACTCTCGAAATTAACGTGGGTGCATGAAATTAATTTAGATCGGAAATTGTTTGGAGAATTTTGTCACCTTTATCAGGATGCTAACGAATGCCTGGAAAATTTCTCCAAATACCAGACTATCCAAGGAATGTTTTGATCTCCTTCGAAGTTGCTTATAATAGACTGGAACAAGCTAAAAAACAAAGCAATACAGACACAACGCGTTTCTGCCCGCTTCGCAAAGTATAATGTTGAGCACCCACCATGCGTACAGTCTGAACAGAAACATCTAAAACGCATATGGTCGTTTTTTTACGCCTTACGTTATATAGGTTGTAAGGCACGCATTTCCAAGTATAGCTCATGTAATGTGAGCATGCCCTTACTTTTTCTGTACGAAAATAATGAGTTCGTATCAAATGTGTAACAGTTTGTACACTAATAATAATAGATACTAAGATACTACGCAACTAACGATGAGTCGACTGTACCTACCCTTAAATACGTCGATTTTTAATTGAAAATTTTAATCCTTATTTTCCAAAATTTTTAATTAATAAGAGGGCTAAAAACCTCGTTCAAAAAATATTTTTATTGTCCGTGCAGCTGTTTTAAATTTCATGCATTATTCATTAAAAAATTAATATTTAAATAGTGTTAAACCCGATTGTGATATTTTTCTCCAAAGCAGTCCTACTGAAGGAAAGCTGGAATACAAAATTATACTCATTTCAACCTGTATTTATATTAAATGAAACGACTTTATTTGAATATATTCAACTTATTTTATTTTCATATCCAAAATTGCTTCTTGCTGTCCTACAGTCAACTTAAAACCTAAAATTGTTATCCTCAAAAACCGTTGTTGAGGATGACAATAATATTAATGTAAAAATTAATTTTCATTTTTCTATTCACTACAAACTATCTCAGGTTAATGAGGGAAAATTTTAGTTGCTGTCGTGGTTACTGTTGCCAACTCTCGTAACTTAGTAGTCAGGACATTGGTGCGTAAAGCCAAACGTCTCGGGTTCGATTCCCGGCGGGGCTGTGACAACAGCAAAAAAAAAATTTCCTTCATTAACCTGAGGTGGTTTGTAGTGGATGGAAAATTGAAAATAAATTTTCATATTAACCACTATTAATAATTAAAAATGGCACGATGGCAATAACGTTTGAATTCGGACCGCACGGATGGTGTATGCCCAGCATTACACTGTGCGAAGTGTGAAGAAACGCGTCGTGCATGTTTTGCTTTACTTTTTCATTTGGTTCTAGGCGACTTAGAAGATCAAAACATTCAGATGATATAGCAGTATTAGCATCTAGCAAGGGGGACCTAAAGATAGCTTTAAATAAAATGGAAGCGGTACTGACAGATCAGTTCTGTATGAAAATAAATAAAAGTAAAATTAAAATACTGGTATACAAGGGAAGAAAAAGTAGGGAAAGAGCGAATATAAAGATAGGAGACGAAAAGTTAGATATCTAAGGAGTCAGATAAGTCAAGATGGAAGGAGTAGTAAGGATATAAAGAGGATAGCGCACGGCCGTGTCGCCTTTAATAAAAAGAAGTCACTTCTATGCTCGCGAACGGTTAATTTAGAAATTCGAAAATGGTTGTTAAAGGTGTATGTTTGGAGCGCGGCGTTGTACAGGTGCGAAACATGAACAGTGGGCGCAGTGGAAAAGAAAGGATAACGTGGGTAGAAAAGGTTAGAAATGAAGAGGTATTGGAAGGAATAGGAGAACAGAGGACTCTATGGAAGTCAATAAAAAATAGGCGAGATAGGTTGGTAGGACACCTTCTCAGGCATGAAGGTCTAGTCAGAGACATA